AAAAAAAAAAAAAAAAAGACAGACTGGCCTCAAACTTCCAAGTAGCTGGGATTATAGATGTGCACCACTACAGCAGGTTTAATATCTTTTTAAACTTTTACCAGCTCTTACGTTGTATCTCTAAAACATAGAAGACCAATACATCTATAGTTAGACTTACAGATGTTGTCTTCTAATTTCTGTACCCTAAAATAAAGCCCATACTTCTATACTGGCCAACACTTGCTCAAGGTCCTTGAATGCATTAGAACAGTGGTCCTACAGCATCACAGCATTCACTAAGCAGCACTGGCCAAGGGGAGTGGGGAGCGCCCCTCAGCTCAGGTAGTTTTCAGAGTTGCCTGTGAAGTGTTTAAATGTTATCAGTATCCAATTGCTAAGGCACAATGTTTGGGGTGGTTTTGATGAATACAGAGTGTAAAGCCAGGAATAAAAAGCCAGTGTTGTGAATATCTGGACCTGTCAGCCCTTATAGCCATCCTCCTTCCAGGTATTATTAGGAAAGGCTGCAGGCTAACTTCTCTGCTGCCCTTTTGCTAGTGGAGGATGATGATGGGAGATTAGGAGATAAGGAGCTCCCAGGGCATGGCTGTTGTGGGCCAGAGCCCTAGCGGTAGTGAGCCTTCTCGGCCCCATCAGGGGGAACAGTTAACTCAGCTGAGCCTGGCCCCAGCAAATGGATTCCTTCTGCACCTCTGGCCTGTAGGCGGTTAGGTTTCTTAGCAGTCTTCAGTTCTTTCCATTGAAGGCTTTCTGCTTTTTTACTGTGGTGGGAGCCCTTGTTTGGTTGGATTCCCCTCACACACACTGGTTGGATTCTCCTCACACACACTCCCATAAGTACTTCCTGTATCTGAGTCTACTTGCATGTGCCCACAGCACGCAGTTACTATTTGCATGGGTCAGCACCAACTGCTTCTCTCTGCAGTTTGCTCAGTATTTGAATTCTATGATGCTTCTCACCGTGCTACAAAATCGGGGCATATTATCACATTTATTAGCCCTTGGTTTTTATTACCAAGCCAAACTGAGCCCTGGGAATATTTTGTACATAGACAGTATTATTTACTTTTTTCCAGAAGTAGCAAGAATAATCTTTATTCCTCAGAAGCACACTTGAAAAAATGTTATGAGTAAAATGAAAGATTCCAAACGTATTTATTTGAATGTAGCACATACACTGAGGATCAAAACATTTCCTTCCCAAGATCTCAGAGAATGTTTTGTATTAGCCCATGGTTGTGGTACATAACATTGACATTCTTTGTGTGGAGTTGGTGCACGTACACAACACGTCTTCATTCCTCTTTTCATCCTCTGTCCCTCCCTTCCTTCTGCCCTTCCTCCATCGCTTGACCCCCTTCCCATTTAAGAAAGATCTATCTCCTTACTTCCTATTATGTTTAATTTTGCTCTTTATTTATAACTTGAGTTTCAGATATTAGAGAAACCACATGATATTCAAGCTTGTGTATCTGACTTATTTCACTTATCATCATGGTCTTAAGGTGCATCCATTTTCCTACTAAGGATCCAAGTTTATTTTTCTTTATGGCAGAGTAGTACTCCATTGTGTATAAGCGCTACTATTCAGTGTTATTTATTGCATCATACTTTGTAATTGCAAAATATTGAAGTGACTCCAACTCCTTCACCTGTGAGAGCAGTTGTGTAAATTGTCACACATGCAGCAGACTGCTGTGCAGTTGTGGGAAAGAGGCTGAGTTCTGACCTGGTACGGCATGATTTCATGCTATGACACACCATTAAGCAAGAAAAACAAAGTGCACAAGCATGTCTGTTGTGTAAATTTAGGAGGGATAAACCAAGAACTTGTAATGGTACTAACAGTGGATGGCCTTGGAGTGACAACTCTTAGAGTATCTTGTAGTAGAGTTTTGACTGTGAACCATACTCAGTACAAACCAACCAGGATGTGAGAGAACCCAAACTATGACAAAAGAATAACAGCAGTTAACATTTAATTAATCCTGAAAGGGCACAAGCTATGAAAATTATTCTTTATCTTTATATACAAAGCTGCACATAACAGCATTGTACATACTAGACTTAGGCAAGTTTGTTAGTAGGATAAACTCCTAGCAATGAAGTTGATGATAGAGCAAAGTTTCCTTGTTAATTGTTGGCAAATATTGCAAAGCTGCTTTTTAAAGAAATTTAATCAATTCACATCAGCCAGTTACGGAGAGGACTACAGAATAGTCATTGCACTGGGTGGGAATGAAAAATGAAAACCAATGAAAGATTTTTAAAGTATCCTTTACTAGTAGTCTTCTTTCAAATACTGAAAGTGTTGAAAATTATTAGTAACATAAAAATTTAGAAGAGAATATTAGCCATTGTAGTGGTGTCCCTGTAGTTCCAGGTACTCAGGGGACTGAGGCTGAGGCTGGAGGACTGTGGGAACTCATGAGTTCTAGACCAGCCTGGTCAACATTGCCAGAGTCTGTCTCAATCAAAGCAAACCAAAGATCATAGAAAATGATTGTTCTTAACCTTAAAACATTACATTTTAGCATTACATTTCATATCAGAAGCATCAACAGTCTCCAAAAGTTTTAAAAGCCCGGGGGGCTGGGGATTTAGCTCAGCGGCAAAAGCGCCTGCCTGGCAAGCGCAAGGTCGTGAGTTCGGTTCCCGGTACCGGAGAAAAACCAAAAAAAAAAAAGTTTTAAAAGCCCATTCCAAGGCTTTTCATACTTAATATAATGACGTCAATTTTAGGCAATATTTAAACCTGACCATGGGACAAAACTTTCAACTACTTTTTACATACAAGCAATATAAAAATGTTAGGTGTAAAATGGGAGAAAACTTCTGTATATGTATAACTAATTTTATCCTGTATCATTCTACAAGTACTTTTTGAGTATCTACTACTCTTCCCAGAAACTGTGTTGTGTACTGCAGGAAAAAGGGAGACCCAAAGAGGAATAATATTTTACTTAATCATGGGTGATTTAAAATATTGTTGAAAAGGATCAGAAAACAAAACACTAGTAGTGAACATGATAGTGTAGTACAGTACAAAACCTGTGGATTATCTACATATTACAGATATTCATGGAAGGAATATATCCATGTAAATGTAAACTCCTAGCAGGAAAGAAAGTACAAGTTAACCTAGGTTGAGTGTATATATGTATGTATGTATGTACGTATGTATTATCTTTTTGAGACAGGTCTCTTTGTGGAGTTCAGGCTGGCCTTCAGCTCACTTTGTAGCCCAGGCTGGCCTTGAACTCTCAATTATCCTCCTGCCTCAGCCTCCCAAGTGCTGGGATTACAGACATGCACCACCACCACCACCATCACCACCACCATCCCGCTCTGGCTAGGTTGAATTTAAACAGTTAGAGGGAAGATATAGTAGTCTAGGAGAACCATATACATATTTGTTATCACAGAAGGATGGGACACTGAAAAATTGAACTTCACAGAAAAAGAAATTTTATATTTGAAGTGAGATTAGACAAGTAAGTTGGAATCATGTGGAATGGCTTGAATGCTTCCAAGGAACTCATACTTGACTATAAAAAGGAGTCTTAGCTGGATGTGGTGGTACAAGCCTATAATCCCAGCACCCGGAGGCTGAGACAGGAGGATCATTGTGAGTTCAAGGCCAGCCTGGGCTACAAAGTGAGCTCAAGGCCAGCCTGAACTGCATAGTGAGACTGTCTCAAAAAGACCAAAAAAAAAAAAAAAAAAAAAGAAAAAGATGATTGTTACTTCACTCAAAAAAAAAAAGGAGAAAAAAGATTATTGTTAATTTGCTAAGTATTAGCCACTGAAAATATTCCTTATCTTTCATATGCCTCTGAATACTTTCTAGATAAATAGACTTTTCTGTGAATTTAAATGCTTAAAGTACACTTTGGTTGATAAGTTAGATTTTCTTGAGATTCTAATATAATGAAATAAATTCTTCTTTATCTTTTATAAAGGATTTACATTAAAAAGGTACACAAGTTTCCTGAATATAGAGTACCTACAGACCCCAAAATTGACAGGAAAATAATCAGAATGGAGCAGGAGAAAGCCTTTAACATGCTGAAGAAGAACTTGGTAGATGCTGGTGGTGTTCTTAGGTACGATATTTATGTAATTGTTTTATTTTACAATTAACACTTTATATAGGAATTAACACCATATATAGGAATTCAAATATAGGAATATAGGAGAAATTATAATTAAATTTTTTATTTCATTAAAATGGTTTATAAGATGGATATCTCACTAGCATTAAATTTGTTAGGAAATAAATTACTGAGTTTATTATCAAAGAATTACACACTATGCCACATATAATAAGCAGTACAGTACATAGAAGGCTTTTCCTTAAGTAACAAATACATATTTATCAATACATTTTATTATATATTGTACTTTGTTTCAGATACTTAGTAGCAGAGCTTTCAGCCACATACATGTTTTTAAAACCCATCTCTGATTACTGTAACATCTAGAAATGAACTGTAAGGCATAGTAAAATTTCATTTTATGCTCAGGTTTTGAATAGGAAGAAATATTAGCTTTCTTGTGTACTTTGCGTTCACTGCAGGTAGAAACTTATTATTGTGTAATGAGGTTATACATAGGGAAAACAGTTTTTGTGTGACATTTTTATTTCTATTTTTATTTTTATTTTTATTTTGGTCTTTTTGAGACAGGGTCTCTCTATGCAGTTCAGGCTGGCCTTGAGCTCACTTTGTAGCCCAAGCTGGCCTCTAACTCACAACGGTCCTCCTGCCTCGGCCTCCCGAGTGCTGGGATTACAGGCATGCGCCACCACGCCTAGCTCTGTGTGCCTTTTAATAAAAACTTTTATAAAAATGAATTGTATAAAAATGAGTCAATAATTAAATCCTTCAGTGCACAGGCTATTTTCTTTAATATTAGCCATTATAATAATTTTTTACTCACATAGTATTTCCTGATTTCTGTTTTGTGTACTGCTGTTCAAGAGACCTGTCTTTGCCTTTAGTTTTTTCTTTTTTTTTTTTTTTGGTGCTAGGAATCAAACTCAGGACTTTGCATTTGCCAGGCAGGCACTGTATCCCTGAGCTATATCCCTGGCCCCATCGCCTTCAGTTGCTTCTCTTGTTTACTGGGCCAACAGGAGCGGAAATGATTTACAGGCAATGTGTTGAGCTCCTGTTATGAAAGAGTCTCCCATTATAGCTCTATCATGGTAGACTCTGAGTTATAATCCACATGGTTGGAAGGTAATAGGTGCATCACAGAGGTACAATGTGGGGCAAAGGATGGGAAAACTCAGAAGATGATGACTTACAATGTTGTCTCTTTATTTTGTAGTAAAGTTTACTTAATACAAAATGTAAAATACCCTTTTCACATATACTTAAATCCCTGCCTCATCTTCAACTTCAGAACATAATGAAATTTATAAAGGTTTATGAAGATTTTTATTTAATTGGGTACAAAGTCAGTGTTAGAAGAGTTAAGTAGAGAGCATTTTAAGTTTTATTAAATATAACAAAATATTTTTTCTTAAAATTTTATTCCTTCTCTTAAATATTAACCTAAGTAATTGATTGTAGCCCTTGTCTAGTAGTAGTAGATAATTGTAATATTTAAATTTTAATAGTTTTAAATATTTTCTCTTTATCAGGTGGTATGTACAGTTACCTACACAGCAAGCTCATCAGTATCATGAATTAGAGACGCCTTGCCTCCCTTTGTCACCTTCCCCTTTTCCTGTTTCTTCTCTTGAGGAGGAGGAAACTGCAGTCAGAGATGAGAATTGTGCATTACCCTCACGTTTACACCCTCAAGTAGCACATAAGATTCAAGAGTTAGTATCACAGGGCATAGAACAAGTATATGCAGTGAGGAAACAACTAAGGTACAGTAGAAGCAAATCGTGCATTATGTTTTTCATTTTTGCTTATTGGTTTAAACAGTACACTTAATATTATAGATATTTTCCAGGATGCATGCTATCAGAATAAATAAAGAATATAGATTATTAGATTATTATAAGAATCGTATTTACAAACCAATAATTTTCTAGCAAATGCTTCTAGCAAACAAACCATTCCATTATATGAGTTATTATAATATTGTCTCATTTGGGATATTCCATATTTGGCACATTAGACTGTTTCTAAATAGTATATGAGTTGAATTAGGTAATAAATACCTTTAGAGAAAAACATTTGTAGAACCAAAGATTTCAAGGTACTTATTTCATATTATTTGAAAAGCAATTAAATTTATTAAAACAAAAACAATTGAATAGTTCTTTGTGTAATGACATTGTATTTGTAGTACTCTGGCCTGATTTTATTGATTCTAAATAATTAAAATATTTGCTACAATAATATCATATATCACATATATCTTATTTATATACAATATAATAATAAATAAATACAATATGATGGCAATAATAAATTATGTTGAATAGCAATAAACTTAGACCAGAGTACTACAAATAGAATTTCATTAAACAAAGAACTATCCAAATTTTTTGTTATAATGTAATTTATAATTTAAGATTTTAAAATTTAAAATAATTTTAATATTATTATTTGGTGATGCGTCCTGTGTTTATGCCATGTCCTATGCCAAGTTCTTTACATACATCATCTTTAGTCTTACAGCGGCTGTATAAAGCTGGTATACTTATCCCCATTCTACACATGAGAAAATGGAAACTCAAGAATTGTTAAATAATGGGCTTAAAAAGCAGAGTCAAAACTGAAATTTAGGCCTAATTCTATATCCTTCACATATTAATATGATTTCTAGTACTTCATCCTGCTCCTACTGACTATTATGTAGTATAATCTGAACAATAGAGCTCCTCCTAGAATTGTTGCTTAACTAATACATGATTTTTCTACTTAGCCAATTTCTAAGACATTTTATATTTATTTCCATTGGGCCATCTTTAAAGCCAAAATTTGGTGAAGCCATCTATAGTTTACTAATAATCCTAGGCTAAGATACTTACTCAAACTATTTGCAGTGAGGTTCATTAAGAACGAGGAAAGCTGGATGTGGTGGCACACATCTGTAATCCCAGCACTTGGTAGGTTGAGGCACAAGGATCACCAAGAGTTCAAGATCAGCCTGAACTGCATAGTGACACCCTGTCTCAAAAATAAAAATAATAATAAAAATTAAAAGAAAGAAAGAAAGAAAAAGACCAAAGGAATAGTGGTCTGGGTCATTGACTGTAATGCACAAAGCATATATATTTTAAAGTTAATGGTTTATATATTTTTTATATAAAGATGTAGTGATATTGCCTTCTATTTCTTTTGTTTACTTACAAAATTCAAGTACATCATATTTCATGTAATGTTAATTGATGCCTTTTGCAAATAGTTTTGCCTATGCACATAATTTGGATATAGGGTCAAGTTTTCTTTTTTACTGGATAGGTCTGTTGCTTTGGAAAAGTTATTTAACTTCTGCAATTCTTCAGTTCCCTCATCTGTAAAATGGGAATAATAATTATATCTATGTCACAGGGTCATGGTAAGAATTAAAGGATATATTGAAGTGCTCAATATGTGTCTGACATAACATTTAAAAACATTAAAATGAAAATAAACGGTTCCTTTAAATTACATTTATAAAAATGTCAAATCTCACTCTAATGTGTTTATCCAGTGAAAAGTTACATTTCTTCAACCTGCGTGAATTCTATAATTTAATGTATGGAAAAAAATTTAAGCTGCACGTGGTAGTGCACATCTGTAATCCCAGTAGTTGGGAGGCTGAGGCAGGAGAATGCCTGGGAGTTCGAGGTCAGCCTGGGCTACAACACTGAGCTCAAAGCCAACCTGAACTACATAGCAAGACCCTGTCTCAAAAACAACAAATAAAAGCCCAGATTAAACTGGAAAAATATAAATTATTTACAGAGCAATAAAACTTACTTTACTGAAATTTATGCTAAAAGACAAACTTTCTCTTTTTTGATCTATTAGATGGTTTATATTTTATTCTTTTTTTTATACTTTTTACAGAAAATTTGTGGAAAGAGAACTTTTCAAACCTGATGAGGTACCTGAAAGACATAATTTATCTTATTTTCCGACTGTAAATGATATAAAAAATCACATCCATGAGGTACAGAAATCCTTGAGAAATGGAGATATGGTGTATAACTCAGAGATTATTCCAGCCACGGTATGATTATAACCACAATTCTTTGCTTTATTAGAGAATCTTTCTTACCTTCTTTTAATATTTGAACTGATAGAGATAACTTACTATTAAAGCAGCAGAATAACTGATATAAGAAAAATAATGACAAATTGCCATTAAAATGTAAATACTATGAAATTTTAGATGATTTAAGTTTTATTATTATCAGAAGAAGAAGCAATGAATTTCTAAATCTGATTATAATAAAAATTCTAATCTCTTGAAAATCAATATTTTTGGGCCAGGATGTAGCTCAGCTGCATAGTGCCTGCCTGACAAACGCAAGGCCCTGAGTTCAATGAGACAGGGTCTCACTATGCAGTTCAGGCTGGCCTTGAGCTCACTTTGTAGCCCAGGCTGGCCCTGAACTTGCAACAGTCCTCCTGCCTCAGCCTCCCAAGTGCTGGGATTACAGGTGTGCACCACCACACCCGGGTATAAATGTTATTTCTTATTCATTTAGCAGACATTTATTGAGTACATATCAATCCTCTCCTTTTTATTTTTTATTAATTGAGACAGGGTCTTACTTACAGTTTTACCCAGGCTGATCTTAAACTCCTAGGCGCAAGCGATCCTCCTGCGTCAGTTCCCAAGTGCTAAGACGAGGACTGTGTCCCAGCATATTTGGCTCCCACCCACCTTGTTTTTTAACGGTAGGGATCAATCCTAGGGCCTTGAAAGTGCTAGACCATGCTCTAGCACTAAGCTACATCCCCAGCTTGCTCCCCCACTTAAAAAGAAAAATACTGTGGGCAAAGTTAAATAGTTCAGACTCAAATGCACAAAGTGATGATGTTGGTTTGAAATGCCAGATATGAGTATCAGTGTTGTCTCATACTTCAATACCATAGTTTTCACCAAAGTATTAAAATTTCTAAGAAAATTGGGCCAGGGATATAGTCCAGTGGCACAAACGCCTGCCTGGCAAGTGCAAGGTCCTGAGTTTGATTCCCAGTACAAAGAAAGAAAGAGAGAAAGAGTGAAAGAGAGAAAGAGAGAAAGAGAAAAAGAGAGAGAGAGAGAGAGAGAGAGAGAGAGAGATGAAGAAAGGAAGAAGAGGGGAGGGGAGGGGAGATAAGAAGAAAGAAAGAAAGAAAGAAAGAAAGAAAGAAAGAAAGAAAGAAAGAAAAAAAGAAAGAAAGAAAGAAAATAAATTACTAGGGACTAAGGATTTAGCTCAGTGGCACAGCGCCTGCCTGGCAAGCGCAAGGTCATGAGTTCGATTCCCGGTACCAGAAAAAAAAAAAAAAAAAAAAAAAAAAAAAAAGAAAATTACTATGATTACCCCAGAAACTATTAGTAATAATACAAGCAGTGATTATAGTATTAAAATCTGAATAGCCATATTCTTTTAAAGCTAAAACAACTTTTTTTGCTGTCCAGAGCTCTTAATTACTCACTGTCCAAAATTCAAAAACTAAAACAGATTTAGTTAATAATGATTATTGCCACCTATACTTGCTATCCAAATTCTTATTGTCTGAACTCAGGAACCTAAGGTGTTTGGATTCCCAAAGTGCTACTGTGCTTTGAGAATATGAGCAAGGAAAAGAGAGCCCTTACAGAATAAAGCATCATATGATAATAAAGCATGATAGTTACGGGGTGTTTTAAGCTTTGTCTTGCACATAACTGGTTTTTTTTACTGAAATGAATGTTCCCATTTCAGCTTCAGTGGACTACAGATAGTGGAAATATTCTCAGAGAGACTGTGACAGTTACATTTGCAGAAGGTAGGTTATCTTGAATACCTGTAAAATATCAAATCAAACTGTGAAAATTGGAAGGAACTTAATGTGTAATCATTTAATCAAATTTTATAGCTAAGGAAACCATGACCCAAAGAGACAATTATGTTAGGCTTTATCAGAATCGTTCCAACTGTTTAAATTTCTCCTATATTCAACTTTTGTGCTTTTTTTATGGCTGAAATTTTAATGCTGATTACTATCATAATGAACGAGAGCTGGCTAAGTCTGGTATTGTCTATTTTGCATTGTTTGCTTTTCTTCAGAGGTCTTACTCCTATATTCTCTCAATATTTCCATCTTATCTCAACCCTTTTGCATGTGTTCTGTCTTGTGGAAATGTCCTTTCTTCTGCACAGAGGGCTCCTCTTATTATTCAGATAGCGGTCTCTGATTCTAAGTGCTTTCTTATCTTTACCTCTGACATTAAAGAAGCTAATCATTCCTCTTTTAACATGGTAACTTTATTTGAGCTCTTGAGAGGCAAGGTTTTATTCATATCAGCATATGAGTAGAGCCAAGGATAATGCCAGCTAAAATGTTAACACCTAAGTAAATGCTTTAGAATCAGTTGAGGAACAGTACAGTATAGTTTTCAATTCTTCTGCTTACTAACCTCTAAGAGTCACTTTACCTAAAAATAGCTTTTAAGTTCTTTAGTCTTATTCATTGTATTTATTCATTCACTGTGTTAAGTGCTGAGCATAAGAATGGGTGAGTTTTTCTACTTCATGGAACTTAAACTTTAGTAAGGAAAAAAAAAAAACATTAGGTATATTCTAATTAATTGGTATTGTGAAAAGTATCATGAGAGAGTTTTGCAAAATTATGTGGGCTAATGATACAGTGACACATAACAGACTAGAGAGCAGGGCTGTGACATGTGAAAATTCTACTTCTAAACTAAGAACTGAAGATGAATAGGGATTTTCCAGTTAAAATAGCACTTGTGAAAGCCAAGCAAGAAAGATCGTGTCATGTCAGCTAGGCACGGTGGTACATGTCTATAACCCCAGCACTTGGGAGACTGAAGCAGGAGGATGCTGTGAGTTTGACGCCAGTCTAGGCTACAAAGTGAGTTCAAGCCCAACCTGAACTACGTAACAAGACCCTGTCTCAACAAAACAAAACAAAACAAAACAGATCTTGTCCTGTTTAAGGAAGTGTAAATTTAGCATAGATAGTGCTTGGAATTAAAGCTAGATAAATAAGACAGTTGGGAGGCCATTTTATTGTATAGATGAAGTTGTTAGTGGTTTAGACAATAGTTGGTAGCATATATACTAGAATTAGATAGATTTTAAAAGTGATTTTAAAAACAGAATTCCAAAGCCTTGGTTATTTTTGTTTTTTTTTCCAGTACTGGGAATCAAACTCACGACCTTGTGCTATGCCACTGAGCTATATCCCCAGCCCCAAAAGCCTTGGTTATTGATTGAATGGGTGGTCCTTGCTTTGGTAGAACATAAACTAAAATTGATTGGTGTTAAGTAGGGACTTAGAATGATCTAATGTAACATCTGAATTTCTATTATGATCAGTCAACTGGTGATGGTGTTTACTGAGCTCAGCAACTTGGCAAAAGAATAGGACTGGATGTGGGGACATACATCTGTAATTCTAGCACTCTGGTACGCTGAGGCAGGAGGATCACAAATTCAAATCCATGCTGGACAATTTACTGACTTTGCAAGACTGCCTCAAAATAAAAAGGGCAGAGGATGTAACGCATTGCAAAGGCCATGTTTAATCCCCAGCATTGAAAAAAAATTATATAAGAATGACTCAGATTGCCTAACAACAATTACCTTAAAAATTAAAATAATGAGAAAAAAGAATTTTCTTTTATTTTTAGTCATTTATTCCAAAATGAGTTAAAGAAAGAAATTTAATATTGCTATTATTGAGGACCTACTTTTGCCAGGCATTCTTGTAGCATTAGAGGTAAAGACAATGAATTAAGTTTGGTTTTTGTAATTGAGAAGCTCAGTAAGTTTCACACATCTAGAAAAGTTCAGATATAGTCTGGCACTATAACATGGAGAATAGACTACAGTAAAGTTACAGATACGAGTCTTTCAAGGAAAAAAATATACTTCTGAATCCTATTCCAGATTGACAGAAGGAAAATTAGTAGGTGTGGGGTGGGAGAATAGCTCAGTGGTAGAGCACTTGCCTAGCATGCTCACCACAGTGGGTTCCAGTCCCAGCAGTCCACTGGAGTGGGGAAGAGGGTGGACCTAGGAATTAAAAAACAATTTTGTTTTTGGTAGTACTGGAAGTGAACCCAGAGCTTTCATGACCTCTTTTTATTTTTATTTTGAGATGATCTTGATAAGTCACTAACTTGCCCAAGCTGGGCTCAGATTTGTGATCCTCCTGCCTCAGCTTCCCATAGTGCTAGACTACAGGTGTGCATCACCACACCTGGCTAGGAATCTATATTTTTAAAATAATTTCCTTAGAGAACCTGATGACCTGTCAGATTTAGAAATAATAGACTAGATGACATTTTTTGGCTGATTGTTTCTTGAAATTCTTTCAAACCTTTGATCTTTTTTCCTATTCCAGTTCTGATTGAAAGGGTTGTAATAAAGTTGTATCCTAGAGGCCATAAAAATAATCTTTTAATAGTTGTATTTTATGTAATTTAGGAAATTCGCCAGGAGAATCAATCCCCACCAAAGTGGAAACAAATCAGACAGGGACTTCTTTGTCTCCAGAGCCAACTCACTTGCTTTCCTCACTTTCTTCATTTCAGCCCAAAATATTTACACAGATACAGGTAGGTCCCCAGTAAATAGCTGCATTTGGGGCTCCTCTTCTTCAACTCTCTCTTAGAGGTATTTTAGAGAATTGTTACAGAATTACAGTAATGATCAAATGTTTCTTTTTTATTAATTCCTGATCTCTTTGTATCTTAAAATGATCATTTAAACAGTGTATTTTTTAAAAGTTTGACTTGACTGTGAAAGCAGTAAAATTTAGTTATACTACTTTTACCTTGGTTGTTTCTATCTGCGTTATTTTTTATATATTTACACTACATTTGTTCCAAGGTTTTGTCAAAATAGGTGGATGTGGTGGCACACACCTGTAATCCCCACACTAGGGGGGCTGAGACACAAGTTTGAGGCCAGCCTGGCCTACATAGTAAATTCAAGGCCAGCCTGAAGTATATAGCAAGACCTCTTTTCAAAAAAAAAAAAAAATCCTATGAGAATATCATGTATAGTAAATCCAAACATTTTGATGTAACTGTTCTTTTTAAAAGGGTTTGCAGTTACAACCAAGATTCACCTCTCCAGATGGGTTGCCAGCTCTGTTATCAGGAAATAACCACCCCTCCTCCAGTCCTTCAAGACTTCTGGATTCAATAGAAAGTACTTCAATGAATAATAATTCTCTACTGCATGATCAAAGTTGCAGCCTTCCAGCAGATACATGCCTAACCCAAAACGATAGTACTGCATCTGCTGGTGGTAACCTCCAAGGACCAGACCAAAATCTAGTGGCCGTGGACCAGCTAATGGAAATCGAAGATGTTGAGGATACAGAGAATCTGGAAGGAAGTGTTCATCAGATATTGTTGGGAGATATGCAGACCATTCCAATACAGATTATGGACAACCAACCAGCTCTTAGTAAGTTAAAAATCAATTTACCGTGTTGTTTTTTCAACCTTTGAGGACTAGCATTATTATGTCACACTACTGAAAATCATTTCTTCCTAGTGAGTTTATAACATTATATAATTCATGCAAAATTTTAAGAAAGAAGGGAGAGATTTCATTCAAAATTATGAGAAGGGGAAAATTTTACTAGTTTAAGAACTTTTTTTTAATTTTAAAGAGAGTAGTAAATGAGAAATAAACAAACAAAAAATAGAATAGTAGCAGCATACCAGTATCACAAACATAAACAAATCAAAGCAAGAACATTTAAAGTAATACAGGGTTTCAAGACAAAATAATACAAATTAACAGTGGTTGTTACATTACATATCGCTGTCCTCAACTACGTTGCTCATATTACCAGATATAAGAATGGAAGATTGCTCAAACCATTTAAGAAAATAATTATTAGATAAAACATTAGAGATAATATGGAGTTTCACTAGGCAAGATGGTAGGAATTCACCATTGTAATTCCATTGCATATTGTTACCTTCAAATCAGTTGCTTAGATTACCAGACATAAGCATGCAAAATCGATCAGAACATAAAAAATTGTAAGCATTAACTGTTCATTTCAGTACACTGTCAGACATCAGCAATACAGATTGCAGCTATTCATATATATATTTATATTTTGCTTTCCTTCTTTCTTTTTTCTTCTTTCCCTCATCCTAGCCATTCCTTCCTTTGAGCAATTTCTTTCCCTTTCCTATCATCTGTTGTACGTTTTGAGTTTTACCTAGTCTTTCAGGTTCCTACACCAAGGAGACAATATGATGTTTACACATGTGGGTCCAATTTATTTCACTTATGAGGATGGTCTCTAGTTGCATCCATTTAACTACAAAAGGTTCAAGTTTATCTTTTTTTAAAAGCTGAGTAATACTCCATTGTATAAAAATACCACATCTTTTTTATCCATTTCTCAGTGGATGGGCATCTGGATTGTTTCCAAGATTTAGCTATAACAAACTGTGCTGCTATAAACATCACTGTGGTATGATGTCTTTAATTCTTCTGGGAAAATACCCAGAAGGGGAATAGCTGGGTTAAATGGGAACTCCAGTCCTAGTTTTGTGAGGAACCTCCAAACTGATTTCCAAGGTGGTTTCACCAATCTACACTCCCACCAGCAGTGGAGTAGGGTTCCTTTCTCCCTACAGCATTCCAGCATTTGTTATTGGTTGATTTCTTGATGATAGCCAGTCTTTCTGGGGTGAGATGGAATCTCAGTGTTGTTTTAATTTGCATTTCTCGAATGACTAATGACGTTGAACATTTTTTCATGTATTTGTTCCCCACTAGTATCTCTTCATTTGAGAAGTGTGTATTCATCTCAGATGCCCATTTTTGGACTGGGTCTTTGAATTTGGGGACCCTGATTTTTTTACATTCTTTATATGTCCTATGTAGAAGTCCTTTGTCTGAGGGGCAGTTGGCTAAAATTTTTTCCCAGTTTGTGGGTTTTCTTTTTACTTTATTGGTGATTTCTTTAGATGTGCCAAAACTTTTCAGTAAGATGAGATCCCAGTTGTTGATTCTTTCAAGTATTTCCCGTGCAGGTCGTGTTTACCGAGGCTTCAGATATTGCCCAGGACACAGCCTGCTTCCCACACTGGCAGGGGAGGGGTGAGGGTGGACTGCCTGAGGCCGCTGACTGTCCAGATTTCAGCTGAGCTTCCAGTGGTGGAGCGAGTTGTTCTGGCAGTGACCACCAAGGCTCCAGAAGTTGTTCAGGGCTCCATGTGCCTCACACACTAGTGGAGGAGGCACCAGAGTGCCTCACCGGGGTTCCTAAAGGTGTGTGGCGTTCATGTTGGTCAGGTAGGCGCAGCAGCAACTCGCCAGGCTTCCTGAAGATGTCTGGGATTCAGCCTAGCCCGAGCAGACACACTGTGGGTGTGGCAAGTAGCCACCGAGGCCCCAGAGGGTGCCTGGGGTTCCACCTGCCTTGCACACTGGTCAGGGAGGCACAGTGGCGACTCACCAGCCTTCCTGAAGATCTAGTTTAAGAACTTTTAAGCTTTATTTTTCCTCCTTATTTCTAATTATTTAATCCCATTGAAATTATTCATTCTCTGATGATCTGTTTTTCCAGGGTTGATGATATGGTAATGTAAAACCAAAAAAATTACTTTAGAATTCTAAGTTGATAGCTACACATAAAATAAGGAAATCTATTTTACTTCAAAGGTTTTATAAAATTTGATACATGCATACACACACAGAAAAATGGAAGACAAAAACAAGAAAAAAAGCCGGGTGTGGTGGTGCACACCTGTAATCCCAGCACTTGGGAAGCTGAGACAGGGGGATCTTTGTGAGTTCGAGACCAGCCTAGGCTCCAAAATGAGCTCAAGGCCAGCCTGAACTGTATAGAAAGACCCTCTCTCAAAAAGACAAAAAAGAAAAGTGGAAAAGCAGATGCAAAGGTTAAAGGGAAGATTTTGAGTTATAAATGTAAACATTGCATTCTGTGAAAGTTAAACAGGAGCTAGTAACATTTGGACACTTGAATTTGACTCAAGACCTTGTTATCTTCACTTTATTACTAACCCAGTCAACATAGTAGTAGACTCTGTTAATGCTTATTTGAGCTGTTTCTCTTCTTTTCACACAAATTGTCCTGGACTGTGCACATTTGTGAGAAAAGATTTTCAATTTTCTTTGAAGAACAAAAATCTTCACAGAAGTTATTCTTAGAACATATAATTTCCCTTCATTTTAAAGACCATTGTTACAGATAAGGAGAACTGGAACATAGCTCCATGCAGAAAAAAATGATTTTCTTTTAAATTTATTGGAAACATTACTTTTAAGAAAATGTGTCCAACAACTGTGGCAGTTGTAACTACTGAATAACTTTGGTAGATGAGAAGGGAGAGGAATAGACACGAATTAATCCTCTTAACTGCATGGCATACTTCAGTGGTGGCAAACCTATGGCACACTTGCTGCAGTGGGCTGTTTGTGCCATCACTGGCATAGTTGGTGGTGCCCCCCTTCCATAGGTGGGGAAACCAAAGCCCATGGAGGATAAGTTATTGCCAGAAGCTCCTATCTGTGAAGTGACAGAGCAGATATTTAAATCCAGATTAATCTTGCCTTCCAAAACTTTCTTCCCTTTTAACATGCTGCATCCCTGTGTTTTGTGCCACAGTATTTCTAGGAACAGATTGCTTTAAAGGAGACTTTCTCTGGATCCAAATCTGCATGATTTTTTTTTTTCTTGTCTTTTTCAGACAGGGTCTCGCTATTCAGTTCAGGCTGGCCTTGAGCTCACTTTGTCGTTCCGGCTGGTCTCGAACTCAGAACAATCTTCCTGCCTCAGCCTCCTGAGTGCTGGGATTACAGGTGTGTGCTACCACACCTGGCAAGCATGATTTATCATGTTATATCTTGCTGAAGGACTGTTTCTGGATATGAGTTCTTGGGGTTACTCAATCCATCTTCTACTGGGTCTCTGTCTTCTGGCTAAACTCCAGTAGGTGACAAGCAGTAGATATGTTCAGCACACTTCTCAGATCAAATACCTCTATTTCCTACTAACAACTGAAAAACACGGTTTTATGCTTATTAAGATGCAAACTCCTGTTAGGTACCTGTGAAGATGAGTGATGTCAGAGGATTCAGACTTCGGCACTTGATCTGAGACAACACATAGTAAAGATATGTTTTACTTCTTTCATGAATTTCTCTTATATTGCTGTTCTTTATCAGAAAGATGTGTTTTACTTCTTTCATGAATGTCTCTTCTATTGCTGTTCTTTATCAGAAAGAAAGAGAAATAAAGATTTGAAGTTAAACTATTAGCCAGTGAATAGCAGTGTTGTTGATATGTTACCTTTAGATTAATTTGCTTGTAAGCTCTTTAAAATCAGAATTGGTAAGTACATTCTGAACAGTTCAGATAAGCAGATGTATAGCTCACACAGCTAAGTCACAGATAGTATTTAAGAGGTGGCACAAATTTTTCAAATAGATCAGCTATTTTTCACAGTTATACCTTCTTTTTCTAAATGCCTGTTTTTTACTTTTCTTTTAAATTCACATAATTAAAGATTCTAGTGCCCCAAAATACACTAACCTTTTGGATTTTTCTTTTGTGTTTGGTTTTAAAGTTGAAGAAAATTCAGAATGCACTACTTCTGTGAATCAAGTTAAGCAAGAACCCAAAGAACCAACATTGTCTCTGGCACCAGAAAAGAATTTAGACTGTAAGAAATTACCTGCTACATAAATTTTTGAAGCTTTCAGAATTTCCAACTCTGATGACTTCTGATGTCTTAGAAAAGAAGGTGAATATTGATGAAGCACAGCGTGTGATAACTGGACTGAAGACTGGTTTGATGAGCAGCTTTGATTTAAAGCTGGTATATTTGTTGAAAATTTCATATTTTTGCCTTTGTTAAGAGATATTTTACTGTTTTATTTTATATAATTCTTATGCCTTTTGATTATCTAATAAGGTCATATTTCAAAAGATCATCTGAACTTATTCACAGTAATTTAGTCTGAACACAAATGGTTATCTAGCTCATCCCTGGAGATACCCAATTTTGGTTCTTACATGACAAAAAAGCAAAAGCAGAAACAATATGAGTATATACATATATATATATATGGGATGATATATGTTATAAGTTCTAAAGTTGTAAAGAAATTTTCATTAGACAGGTGAGAAAATATTTGTAGTCCATCTTATTTGCAAAGGTAAAGCATTTTACATACTAACATAAAGGTTGGCAATTACATCTGTAGAGATTGTTCTTGTAGTTACCTTCTTCTCTTTTTTTTTTTTTTTTTTTTTTTTGAGACAGGGTCTCACCATGCAGATCAGGCTGGCCTTGAGCTCACTTTGTAGCCCAGGCTGACCTCGAACTCGCAACGATCCTCCTGCCTCAGCCTCCTGAGTGCTGGGATTACAGGCGTGTGCCACCATGCCTGGCTAGCTGCTTCTCTTAATTTTTGTTCTTTTAACAAACCAATAGCACACTAGTGGTCATCTAACTGAGATTTAAGTGTCTGATAAGTGCTAAAAATTTTAACTTGAATTAATCAGATGAGCAACAGAAATCAGTACATATTGCCTGGATAACACACTAATTATAGGTAGAAAGAGGAACAAATTGAGAAACTCAAGTAGAATAATAGAATTTTCAGGTGATTAGAGATAAGTTAGACAATTTTTTGGTAGTAGCAGAGGATTTTTCTCTCATTTTTTGTTTTGAAGATTCTGTTCTTATCAGAAAAGACTGAGTCATATTTACATTTTTCTATGTCAGAGTTCTTACTGTTTTGAAGTATTAGGATTTATAATTCAAGGTAAGTATTTATAGTTCAGAATTTAATATTTAAAACTTTTAAAAAGTTAGTATTGTATATTTGCTTGTTAAGTATATTTTCTTCAAATACCAAATAAGTACTAATCAGTATATTCATTATAAACTTGTGGAAGTTTGGCAAAGTAGAAATGTCATTTCTGTCAGGAAATCACCTGAAAGGCTTTATTTTCTCCAGAGACAATTTCTGGATGTATTTTACATTTTATTTTTTGAAAGTAAAGATTTTAAATGGATATTATTAATATTGAAAGCATGTATAATATAATATGGAATTTAACCTCAGTATTTTACATGTGTCACTTTTGGTTTCACATTGAGGTATATCCCAGCCCCTTTTTATTTTTTATTTTTTGAGACAGTGTCTCACTAAGCTGCCTAGACTTAGTGGACTAGGGATTGTGATCCTCCTGCCTCAGCCTCCCAAGTGGTATGCACCACCACACCTCGCTCAGCCGCCCATTCTTAAAATTACTGTTTCAGGTACATAACATGTATCTAAATGTAAGCGCAGTTCATTAGAAATAGATGGAATTTGAAAATTTCTCACTCTTTAGATTTATAGCCTGTTGAATATAAAGTTTATTATTTATATCCTATTTAATGTGAAATTAATATTTAGCTGTATCTTATTTTTAATAAGAATTGGTTTTCTTGCTTAAGAATTGAAAAGATTTGATATCAGTATTTGTACAAGTAGGCTGCTAAGTTTGAATTTTAGGCAAAGTTGAACAAAACTGCTAATTATCTCAAACCCCGATTTCGTAGTCTATGTGTACTTAAGAGGGATAAATCTAAATTAATTTACAGAGTTGTACTGTAGGTAATATTCTTTTCATTTGTTATTCCTACTTTGTATGGAAACCTTTTTAAAGTTTTATATAATAGATTTGCATCTTCTAATAATGACAAAGTTTAATTAATAATATTTCACCAGTTGAGTTATATCATTTAAGGGGATATTCCTTTCTTTTTTGATGTTGAGTTGCTAAGGAGAAATGCTTATTAAGATGCAAACCCCTGTTAGGTACCTGTGAAGATGAGTAATGTCAGAGGATTCAGACTTTGGTACTTGATCTGAAACACATAGTAAAGATATGTTTTACTTCTTTCATGAATGTCTCTTCTATTGCTGTTCTTTATCAGAAAGAAAGTTACAGTGCACCTTTCCTACTAACAAAATTCCCACAGAAACCAAGAGCATGAAGAAAGGTTTAAATGCCTAATTGTATACTCTTTTGGTTTTTAGGTAGAAACTGGAACTATCAATATTTTCATGTAAGTATTTCAATGAGTAGCTCTTTAAAATGGTTTCTAAATGAATTTTTAAAAATTAATTTGTCCTCTAAATGCATGTGTAGTAACAGTGTGTCAGTATTGTGTTTAAAGATGCTTAGCATCACTTTTTGAAAACTATGTTTACATGTTTAAAATGTTTATTTTTAAATTCCCAGCATATTAAATACAAATGCATAAATTTTTTAGTATCGGTGTTTGGCTTTCTCCTAACAGCTCTACAGCAAAGTTTGACATTTATTCCTTTGTATTATTATGTATGACAAGGTGTAATATCTGTAATATTGAGTCAAACATTCAAAATAAGCAGTTAGGATTTCACAATTAATTACAGTTCCACTTGTTTTTTCCTTGTAGTTTTCAGGTTCCAAACCTCCAAGTGAATTTCACATATACTCTAGTGTGTTATAGATAAACACAGCCATGGTGGACTTTTTCCTCAATAGCATTTTTCTGTAAGTAGTGAGTATACTTAAAAGAAAAAAGCTTTAACATATTGTACAAGGCATATGTTTCCTGAAAATCACAAAAATGATAGAAAACACGGATCTTGTGATCTGGTTCTGCATTTGAGTTTCTCATTTTGAGGCCTATCTCCTTGTTTTTTGTCTTCTTTATATCCTATTAAAATATATACTTGATCATGTGGATATGAAAAAGATATTGTTTACTTTGTACCAGGTTTTAAAAGATGTTTAAAAATCTGTGTGTGTGTATGTATGTGTGTGTAGAAACTTAATGTATAGTGTCTTTGTTATAATGTAATTTTTTCATTAAAAAATCCTGTGGGTTTTTTTCTTATATTCTTAGGGTTTTTTTAAAGTACATATACATATTTTTCCTGGATATACGAAGAGTTTTGTTCATCTTAAATAAGATGCTGAATAAACACTTTAATACCTAAGAATTTTTGCTAGAGATTTATGTTCAATTTGGAACCTGAAAATTTCTAATTATAACTACCAAGAGCTATTGCTAGTGTTAAATTTGGGAATATGCATTTAGCACTGTAACTTAGCTAAGCATCAACATTTTAAAACAACATGTGTAATAAGGTAGAAATAATTCTTTTTTCTCTCCACATTTTTACATCATGACACCTTCAAATACCTTTTGTATTCAGTATGATGACACAAGGATGTAATTAGAAGAGATGATGATGATGCTGATTCGCTTTCTTCCTCTCCACCTGCTTTATTCCAGTTTATGCTTGATTTTTCAAGTATGGAAAAATCTTCATCTCCCCAGTAGGGTACTGAATTAACCATGCACCATTAGCTGGTTTGGGCTTTAGAAGCCTTAAATGGTATATGGTTTTGATGTCTAGGCGTCTGTATTTCTACTTAATTAGTTTAATCATAAGAACAAGCCTTAAGCTGGGCTTAATGGTACAAACCTATAATTCCAGCACTGTAGGAGGCTGAAATAGAAGGATCATAAATTTGAGCCCAGCCTGGGCAATTTAGTGATTTAGCAAGATCTTATCTCAAAAACTAAAAAACGGCTGGGAATATAGCTCAGCGTAAAGGCCCTGGGTTCAATCCCCACTACCACAAAAAAAAAAACAAAAAAAAAAAAACAAAAGCTTAGTATACTTTTGCCATATACAAATAGCTGTAAATTCTATTGTTAAATAATACAAGTATTCATTGCAGACTGAATTCTTAAAACTTTAGGAATAAGATCAGAATTTAACATAGGATGTGGTGGTGCACCCCTATAATCTCAGCACTTGGGAGGCTGAGGCAGGAGGATTGCTGTGAGTTGGAGGCCAGCCTGGCTGCACTGTGAGTTCAAGGCCAGTCTGAACTACATAGCCAGATCATATTTTTCCTTGAGACTCTATCCTCACTCCTCCATATCTCCCCACCCACCATTTCCAGACAACCACTGATACACTTTCATTCAGTAGTGATCAATTTACTGTACATGAAATTGTATAGTATGAATCTTTTATGATCTTTTATAGTAACCTTTTATAGTTATTCTTTGGTTCCTCTACATTAGAGCATGTATAACTAGTTCATTCGTTACTGCTAAGTAGTATTACCTCGTATGATTATCCCATAACTTGTTTATTCATGTGATAATGAATATATGGGTTGTTTATAGTTCTAGGCTATTACAAATAAAGCTGCTGTGACATTTGTGTACAAGTCTTTGAATGACCTAACATTTTTATTTCTCTTGGGGAAATACGTAGTAGTAGAATGACTGGAGCATATGATATGTAAATATATTTAAATTTTTAAGAAACTGTCAAGTGATTTTTCAAAGTGGTTGTACTATTTTGATCCTTTTTAGGGGTGGGTAAGAATCACCATATCCTCTCCAACACTTAGTATGGATAGTTTTAAATTTCGGAGATTCTAGCAAGTGTGTAAGAGCTTCTCATGGTGGTTTTAATATCAATTTTCCTAGTGACACACAATTGAGCATTTTTTATGTTTAATATGACATCTAGATCTTCACATCTTCTTTAGTGAAGTATCTGAATCTTTTACCCATTTTTAAACTAGGATTTTTTTTGGTATGGAATTTTGAGTTTTAAAATATATATTCTAGATACAAGTCCATTAATGCTTTGTAAATGCATCAGTTTCTGGACTTTTCATATTTCGCATCCATTCATCTGTTTGTCTGTTTTAGTGGTTCTCAAATTAGGCTGTTTTGCTCTGAGGGCATATATAGTTATTATAAATAGGGAGATACCACTGGCTTCTAGTAGATAGAATCAGAACTAGGACAGTCCCTACAACAAGGAATCATCTGGCTCAAAATTTCAGTAATACTGACATTGAACGACTGGTCTGTCTTGATGCCAAAGCCACAGTCTTGATTATTGTGCCTTTATAACAAGTCTTACAGTCAGGTAGTAGTATAAGTGCTTAATCCTTATTTTTCTTTTTACTTTTGTTGTGAGTGTTCTAATTCCATTGTATTTTCATGTAAATTTTAGAGTCACATATCAGTTTCTTTATTTTATTTATTTATTTTTATTATTTTTTTTTGAGACAAGGTCTCACTGTGTAGTTCAGGCTTGCCTTGAGTTCAATACATAGCCTAGGCTGGCTTCAAACTCATGGTGATCCTCCTGCCTCAGCCTCCCGAGTGCTGGGATTGCAGCCATGTACCACCATGCCCAGCTCCCATGATGATATTTTTTACTGTGATTATATAATATATAGGTATATGAAATTAGGGGAAGCTGGGTGTGGTGACCCATGCCTATAATCCCAGCACTCGGGAGGCTAAGGCAGGAGGAGCACTGCGAGTTTGAGAACAGCCTGGGCTACAAAGTGAGCTCAAGGCCAGCCTGAACTGCATAGGAGACTTTGTCTCAAAAAGACAAAAACAAACAAACAAAAATATTGATTCCTTAATTTTTCTCTGCATAAAAAAATGTTTTTCTCTCTGCATAGTTTTTGTATGTAGATCTCACATACCTTCTATCAGATATATCCTAAGAATTTGTAATATTATTTTTAATTTCAATTTCTGATTGTTTATTCACTATTGTATAGAAATATAATTGATTTGTATATTAATCTTATATCTTATAATTCTGCACCACTATACACTATGGCACTGTACAGTCGCACAGAGCAGCACAACTGTGACAATGTCAGGCAAGACAGGTGAGCTTCCTCTACAATTCATTCGCATCTGTGAATGTAATGTGAGGTGCATTTGTATCTATGAAAGATCATAAGTCAAAAATGTGTAAGTCAGGACTCACTGTATTTCATTTTTCTTGATGCTGTTGTAAAAGGTGTGGTTTTTGAGTATTGACTTTATATTCTGCTGTGCTGTCAAATTTGATTACTAAATCTAGGAATTTTCTAATGGAGTTTGGTGTCTTCTATGCTGAGTATCATGCCATCCACAAATAATTATAATTGAACTTTTTCCTTTTCTGTACATATTCCTTTTATGTTTCTCTTGTCTAGTTGCTCTGACTAATGTTTCCAAGTACTATATTGATAGGAGTGGCTTTTATCAGATTGCAATAAGGATCTGTATTCTAATTTTCTTTAGGATTTTTATCATGAATGTGGGTGTCAGACTTTGTCAAATGCTTTTTCTATATCTATTAAGATAATCATGTAGTTTTTGTCCTTGGTTCTGTTAATGTAATATATTACACTTACTGATTTATGTATGTTGAACCATCGCTGCATCCCTGGGATGAGTCCTGCTTGCTCATATGTGTACTCTAGAATGATTTACTGCATTCTGTTTGCTAGTATCTTATTGAGGATTTTTCCATCTATATTCATTAAGAAATTGGGCCATAGTTTACAAAGAGCCCTTCCCAGTCCTTGTTGTGGCCGGGCAATTTATATTTGTAATCCCATGGAAAACTCATTGGAATTCTAGCAAGTTAATTTCAATCTACCACTTCCAATGCAACTCATGGCAAGAATAAAGACACTAACGCATATTTGTAGTTATAGGGAGCCAAGGGGTCCTAAGTTCAGCCACCATGAAGGCTGTCTGGAGCAAGTGCTTCGACTCAGGGCCAAAATCAAATTTTATTAATTCATGAAGAAGGGAGTGGCTTGAGGATGAGTGACTGTGAGAATGGTGGGAAATAGGTGAGTGCTGTGAGCTGGGCTAGGTAGAAGGCCTGAAATCACCTCTGCAATATGGAGAGAGAAGGATATGCAGAAAGTAATCTGCATAACACAATTGAGATAGTGTCTAATGGAGTCTGTGCTTCAGCTCTGATGTGTAATCCTTCAATCCCCAGGAAGTCATAGTCTCTATTGCTTGATCCCAGCCAAGATCATGGAGCACTGGCTCTTCATCCCACCTCATCCCAGCTCATACAAGGGAACAGTGGCGCTGGGGGTGTTGGGGAAACACTGCCTGCCATGCATTGCTTAAAGCCAATTGAAGGGATAAGGAAAAGTCCTAGCCAGCTCTGTACATATCAGTACATGGAAATAGGGTCAGGCTTGGCCAAAATGGAGACAATTGCTCCTCCTTCAAGGAGAGTCGCCCAGGTGGTCCTCCACAATAGTTTCTTTTTTGGTTGGATCCTCTCTGGTTTTGGTATTGGGATAATGCTTGCTTCTAGAAATGACTTTGGGAATATTGCTTCCCTTTGAATTTCATTAGAGAGTTTGAGGAATAGTGGTGTTAGATGTTTTCTAAAGTTCTTACAGAATTCAGTGGTGAATCTATTAGGAACTGGGCTTTTCTGTTGGTAGTTTTTTTATTACTACTTCAATTTCATTGACTGATATTGGATTATTTAGAATTTTTATATCTTCTCATTTGTAGCCAAGAATCTATACATTTCTTCTGAATTTTCCATGTTATTACAGTACAGGTTCTCAGGGTAGGTATTGATGATCTTCTGAGTGTCAGCATGATCTGTTGTGATTTTGCCCTTTTAACTCCTGATTACATGGATTTGAGTCTTTTCTTGTTTTAATAAGATTGGCTAAAGTTTTGTCTACTTTATGTAATCCTTCCAAGAACCAACTCTTCATTGATTTTTTTTTTTTCTTTCTTTTTGAGACAGGGTCTCACTATGCAATTCAGGCTAGTCTTGAATTCACTTTGTAGCCCAGGCGGAACTCAAACTCAAAACGATCCTCCTGCCTCAGCCTTCTGAGTGCTGGGATTACAGACATGCACCACCACACCCAGTGTTCTTCAATGATTTTGTATTGTTTTCTTAGTCTCAATTGCATTAATTTCTGCTCTGATCTCTATAAATTCCTTATTGATGTGAGCTTTGGGTTTAATTTGTTTTCTAGAAGCTTGAGGTTCAATATGAGGTTATTTACTTGAACTTGCTGTTTCTCTGATCTGGGAATTCACAGCTTTAAACTTCCCTCATAAGACTGATTTCATTGCATCCTATAAGTTCCACTATGTCAGATTGGCATT